TGGACTTGTAAAGTACAGAGCAACAAGAGATTGGCCGAAAATCCGAGACTTTACTAGGATTGGGAATTTTAGGAACTAAGGCAATAGTAGTAGCATTGAATGCAGGGTAGATGAATGATTCTTGAAAGAAAAATTTTATTGCATCAATCACTTCATCTCCAATCACAGGCCAAGCTTTCTTAAAGAAAAGAAGAGTATAACCGTCTGGACCCGGTGCCTTGTCATTACCTTGGCTGAAAATTGCCTCTTTAATCTCGTCATTAGTGATCTTATTTGTAAGTCCCTCGTAGTCTTCAGAGGAAGGAATAGGGTGCAGCAGGCCTTTAAGTAAATTGGTTGAACATGCTTTAACTTTAGGGTCAGAGGAACCAAGCAGATTTTTGAAAAAATTAATAGTTTCATTAGACATGTCATCGAATGAGTCTAGTCTTCTTCCTTGATCATCAACTAAGGCTCTAATGGTGTCACGTTTATTCTTGGTAGCAATGACAGAGTAAAAGAATTTGGATCACTTATCCCCCTCTTTCAACTAATGAGTTTTCGCTTTTTGTTTGAGAACCATAGCCTCGCTTCCTCAAGAGTATTTAGTTCTCTTTGCAGATCAAGTTCTGTTCCAATAGGCTCGATTCCTCTAAGGGTAAGAATCTGTTGTTTTTCAATCTCATCTCTTTTACTTCTAACACGGGCGAAAATATCACTAAAATAATCCTTGTTCAGAATTTTTAGGGAGGCTTTGAGTCTTTTAAGCTTGAGAAAAATTTTCTTCATAGGGTTGCCATGACAAGGTTGAAGCCAAGAGTTAGAGACTGTGTTTAAGAAATTTTGATGAAGAGTCCACCAGTTGAAAATTTTGAAAGGCTTGGGTTTGCGGAGCTGAATTTCTTTATTAAGAGTGACCAAAACCATGCAGTGGTCAGAAGGACCATGAGCTAAAAATTCCACAAAGGATTGAGGGAAGGATTCAAACCATTGAGAATTAGAGAGGACTCTATCAAGTTTCTTGCAAGGAAGTTTTCTCTTTGTTTGTTGCTCCAAGAGAAAGTAGCTCCAAAGAATGGATGGTCATGAAGTTGAAGATCATGAGTGAGCTCTTGGAATTCAAGCATGTCTGAAGAAGAAAATGTACCTAAAAGTTCGTGATTAGAACTTTCATAAGGGTACAAAGTAACATTAAAGTCACCACCCAAGATCTAAGGGTAGTCAGGAAACCTAGTTTCTATACTTCTAAGATCTTGCAGATTCTTTTTCTTGCTATTCCATCATTATAACCATAAATTCCAGTAAGCAGGAAGTGGACATTCTTGTAGAAACATTTAACAGTAATACTTTGGGCAGCAGTATGACATAAAGCAATATCAATTCCCTTTCTCCATAGAAACCATATTCTCCCATTCACAGCATGATCATAGTTGCAAAATACATTCCATTTCTCAAATCTAGAAGAAAGAATTTCAACAGATTTATCCAATTTAACACGGGTTTCAAGCAAGCAGAGGATATCAATATTATTAAGAGTAGCTCTCCTAAGAACTTTGCCTTGTTTAAGAGGATTATTAAGTCCTCTTACGTTCCAAAATGAAATTATCATTTGGATTGAGGAGAAGGGGTTGTATCGCCCTTTTTACTACCTACTGTTGCACTTTTTGCTTTTTCAAGATGGGATTTCTTTTTAGTTTTGAGCTCTCTAATCAAATCTGCAACTCCAGAAGCTGCAGCTATTGGTTTTTTCCCCTGAATCTCAGGCTCAGGTTGAGTCTCTTCAATAGAATTTAATATCTCAAATTTGTTTGAGGAACCTGCTAAAGATTTGGTGGGATTAATTCTCGGAGGTCTACCTCTACCCCTTTTTGAAGTAGATGCTGACTCATTAATAAAGATAGCAGATTCTGAAGGAATTTTGGGTACATCATATTCTACGTCAACAGATTCTACATCAGGAGGAGGACTTATTTGAGCACTCAGAGAAGAAAAAGCATTTCCAATAAGTGGGAGTTCAGAGTTAAGTTGGTTTCCTGCAATAATTTCCTCAAGAATGGAATCTTTAGCACTAATAGGATCCTCAACTTTGGAGTTCAGTAAAGGATCAATGCAAGGAGTAACTTGGGGTTGTGAAGAGGAAGGCATAGATTCCTTTTTCCTCCATACTTGGCTAGTGGTGGAGGAATTTGGGTTAAACTTGCAGGATTTTGTACTATGGCCGAAAATGTTACAGGACTTGCAGTAAGGGGAAGCCATGTGATATCAACAGAAACAATAGCTTGAAGACCATTGTTAAGAACAACATCGATAGTCTTAGGGATCGAATCAGTAACCCCTATTTCAACACAGACTTTAGCGTATTCCAACCTAGTCTTAGAAGTTGTGATAGAATCCATTGACAATGGGAAGCCTATGGCACTAGCAATGTAACTCAATCCATCATTAGAGAACATTTCAAGAGGGACATTGTACAAATGAACCCAAATCGGGATTCTAGATAAATCAAAGTGAAGTTTTTGCAAATTAGGTTCCCACTGTCTGAGAATTAAAGGTTTATTGTAAATATGCCAAGGCCCATTTTCCATTACCTAGTCACGAGCAGAATCGGATTCAAAGGAAAACAAATAGAGATTGGGACCTGCGTAACTGACCTGGATATTAGAACCTTTCAAGGAATTTTTCCATAAATCATCGATTATCCTTTGAAGAGTTGTAATATTTGGAGCAGCCCCCAGAAATTGCCCCACAAGGGAGTGCTTCCACTAAAAAATTCCACCTTCAAACACTTCAGGCGGAGGATGGACGGTCGGAACTCCATTTCTCTCGTTTGGGGGAAAATACTGAAGCTGATGATTTGAAGCGCATCAGAACAATTTACGCCAATCCATTGAGGAAACACTCTGAGTGAGAAAACAGGCTAATAATAAGAGAGGACCGGTGAAGAGACGGGAGAGACGCCGAAGAAGCAGAGGAAATCTCATAACCCATTAATCCAGCTAATGTGCGCCGAGAGAATTCTACAAACGTGCGCCATGGATAGGTTATATCAAAATATTGAAAATGTCATATTAATATAATTTTAAAATAAATATTATTATATACAAATAATTTTATATTTATACAGCAATGATCAAGAAATAGTTCCAGTTCAGCGTGATGTTGTTTTTGGCCCGATCAGAATCTTTACTGGTGTACATTAGCTTGAAATAAAAATTGGAAGAGTGCAGCCTGACGATCCGACTCAACAATAGACTAATAAAAAAATAATGAAGGTTTAGGAAATGATATTAATTTATTGATAAAAAATTTTATGTCGTAAAAACAAGATAAAATAATAATGCTAAAGCTAGGATAAAGATAATAAAAATTATTTAAATCTTTGGACTACCCCTAAATTAATATCCAAAACGCTTGTTACATTGTGTTTATAGATTGGACTCTTTAGCTAGGCAAAGCCCAAAATAATCATAGCATAGCCTAGCTTTTCCAAGATGATCCAACTTCTAAGACAACGGGGAAAATTTTTCATCATTCCATCTCCTTTGTAATTTTCGATTAAAAAGAATAACTGAAATTATAAAACAACTCAACATACGATCATAGACTAATGCCCTATTATACCACCACCACCATCTTATCTGAATAGAAAACAAAGCGTTTACACTTGGTTAACTAAAGCTTCTTCCAACAACTCGTTGGTGCTTATATATAGCTGTAGGAGGAAAGGAAACATTAATTTTGGAGGAAGGATTGTATGCTAAGGTAAGACGAAGTTTGGGAAGGTTGTTGCGGACCGGCATATACTCTTTCCTCGAAGTTGCGTGGGGAAGTACCAGTTGGTGACGCAAAGTTATGTAAAAAGGGTTGTGGATTTTTAATAGGCATATAAATGAATCGAACGGAGGTATATTCATGTTCGTTCATTTAATAAATAAACAAACATAAACGAACACGAACATAAACAAACAATTTTTTTTGTTCATGTTCGTTCATTAAGGAATATAGTTTGTTCATGTTCGCTCATTTAAATGATAAACGAACGTAAACGAACACAAACGAACGAACATAAATGAACATAATAAATGAACATAAACGAACAACACAAAAATAAAAAATAAACTTATTCGAACACAATAAATGAATGTAAAAAAAAGTAAACAACAAGAATAACAACTTAAAATTCATTAATATAATCTACAACTTTAGAGTTAATTTATTTAAATACGACAAAATCATACATAAATCATAAATAAACTATATGAATATAATAAAGTCTTAAAGTTAATTTGTTCAACAAAACAATCTTATTGAAATCTAAACAACTTCAATAATCTTCGTAACCTATTCAACTTGCCCTCTGTTCGAACATAAATGAACGAACATAAATGAACAGACATAAAATTGTGACCCACCACCGTCACCAGCAATTGAGTAATAACATATTCAATGAATGTTCAGTTCATTTACAGGTCTAATTTTTAAGGTCATTTACCGGTAATACCACACCCTGTAAAATTGTGACCCACCACCGTCACCAGCAATTGAGTAAGAATCTCAATTTTCACGTCAAGGTCATCAAATTGTGTTATATCTAATTCATAATTAGGAAGTAACCTCGAGAGTGAAAGATAAAAATGTAATATAAATTAATCATTTTTTAATGATTTAGAAAGATTATAAATCAAAGTTTTTATTTGATTTGTTCGGACGGAGATAAAAAATAATTTTTTATATCTTTTACTCGTTATATGATTTATGTTCGAAATTTATAGTTGTCTATTATAATAACATTATTTTTAAAAGAGCGTAACGCACCTTGCGTACCCAGCAAGTTACTTGGTGGTGAAATAAAATTCATTTTTAATTGGCGTTTAGTTTAATTAATGCTCTATAATTTAGTGGTTTATCAGGAAGCAGGGGTTATATGAATTGGCAAATGACGAGACAAAGATGGTGAAAATGGAAACCAGAATGGAAGCACTTCAAATATTTCCATTATATATATATATAACTCTTTTCCGCGCGGTACAAATTACAAAAGCCCAATTAAATAAATAATAGGTGGACAAACCGTCTAGAAATGGACAATCGCTTCTACAAGTAATTTTTGGGAATCGTTCATCAACTCAGGACTGAGCCCAAGCATGAGGGTACAAAACTCCATCTCATTCAAAGCCCCATCCCCATTCAAATCACCTTCCCTCAGCATGCACTTGGCCTCCTCATCGCTCATCTCTTTCAACCCAAGCAATGCCGACTTCTTTTTGAAGCTCTCGAAAGTGATCACTCCCTTTTCTCCATCCACCAGCAACCGAAACCCGTTGCTCAGCTCCTTCATAAAACCGTCAGCACCCAGTTTCTCAACCATGGCAGGGAAAAAATCTTCGAACACTACCTCATTTTTGGACCCCATTTTCCTATTTGTTCATGGTTAAACGTAAAAGAGAAGCTATGGGTTTTTAGTTTGTATGATTTTGAGATGGAAACTAGTTTGGTACAGAAGAGTTGGGGGGGGTACTTATATGTGATGGGGAGAGAATAATGCTAAAGAGGGAAATGGAAGAAATGTTCGAGGAAAGAGTGTTGTAATGAGAACAAATTAAAGGTGAAGATAAAAACATAGGAGAAGGATGTCCGTCTTCGCTGCCCTGGCAGTTGCTGCTGCCCATCTGCCTCTTGATTTGGTGACTTTGTGTCCATGAAAACTGTCCTCCTTCCTCGAAGTTGCATTTTATCTTTTGTCTCATTTTATTCACCCCGGAGCAAGAGCCCAGCCATAAGATTAAATTGGTTTAGGACATTTTATCTTTGTACCTGGGATTTTGTCTTATTGTTTGTAAAATTTAGTATTGGATTCTAACAGGGGAGCGTATAAGTTTGGGCAGTACGATTTGGTCCATTCTAGAATGTCATACCATTACCCTGATGCTTGGGCATTTCTTTGGGGCTATAGAATTGGACTATGATTTAATCGGCCCAGAAAAAACAGCTTTGATAGTTGTGGAGCCTAATGGAAGGGCAGGCAGGCCCTGATATCCAACAACTCCAACAATCTTGGAACATGGTACAAGAACCTTCCGGTTAGGACTGTAAGTATGACAATAGATGATTGTTAGGCAGAGTGCCTGAAAAATTGTTCTTGCACTGCTTATGCTAAAGTAGACATTAGAAGCCAAGGGAATGGCTGTGTAACCTTCTATGAAGACCTGATTGATATTAGAGAAGTTCCTGAATATGGACAGGATCACAGGACCTTTGTGCTAAATCATGTTTGAAGTAATTCATAGGGTGAGCTACAGTCCGGACGAGAAGTTGCAGTGAAAAGACTATTGTTTGAGTTCTTCATTAGATTAGCCAAAATAAGGAAAAGTCAACGACTTTTACTAAGTTCATACATTGATGGAACTTTATTAACATCACCAATTATGCTTAGATGCTTTCCCCTTTTAGTATTCCATTTTATGTCTATGCCTCTCTACTTTTTAGTAATCTAATGGTCAAACATGAAACTGAAATCAACTGCTATATAATTTAATTTGTCTACATAATCATTTAGGTAATAAATTTGGTTTCAAATTTTAATATGTATAACAGAGTAAATTTGAATAACTAATTTAATTTATATTCTGACACATATATCTAGATTAAATCTAATGTGAACTTAATACGTAAATCCTCAACACTAATTATATATATACATAAAATAAAATATATCATTATTTAAAGTAATAGGGATATAAAATTAAGAATTAATTACTTTTCCAAATAATTTGTGGTTAAATTACGGGTATATTATCAAAAATAAAGAAATTGTGGCATTTAAAATTATGAAAAAGAAAGTAAAAATAAAAAATTATGTGTGCTTACAATTCAAATCAGATCAAGTAGAGAAAGTAACACATTTATGAGAGACTTCACTCTAATCACTCAATCCATGAGAATAAATTGGAAAAAAAAAATTAACCAATGAAAGATTTTGTCAAATTCTTCGACACCCAATAATTAAATTTTTGTAACATGTTAGAGACAAATTTATTAAAATCGTTAACATTTGTGAACGATTTTTACAATTATTGTATAAAATATAATAATTTCCTAAATATTTTTGAGATATAACGATTTACTTATTTTTATAGGCCTGTAAACGAACCAAACGCACACGAACGGAGGTATGTTCATGTTCGTTCATTTAATAAATAAACGAACACGAACATAAACGAACAAATTTTTTTTTGTTCATGTTCGTTCATTAAGGAATATAGCTTGTTCATGTTCGTTCATTTAACAAATAAACGAACATAAACGAGCACGAACGAACGAACATAAACGAACAACACAAACACACACACAAAAAACTTATTCGAACACAACAAACGAATGTAAAAAAAAAAGTAAACAACAAGAATAACAACTTAAAATTCATTAATATAACCTGCAACTTTAGAGTTAATTTATTCGAATACAACAAAAACATACATAAATCATAAATAAGCTATATGAACATAATAAAGTCATAAAGTTAATTTGTTCAAAAAAATAATCTTCTTGAAATCCAAACAACTTCAATAATCTTCATAACATATTCAACTTGCCATATGTTCGAACATAAATGAACGAACATAAACGAACATATAATCGAACGTTCACGAACGTAAATGAACGAATGAGCCCCTTGTTCGTGTTCGTTCATTTAATTAAACGAACGCAAAATCTTGTTCATGTTTGTTCATTTAATAAATAAACGAACATAAACGAACTTCCCGTCGCACGGTTCATGAACGGTTCGATGAACGCTCAGTTTATTTACAAGCCTAATTTTTCATAATATCTTTGATTTAAACTTAGTTTCTTTAATCTAATCAAAATAAAAGTTTAAAAATCAAAATATATTAAAATATTAACAATAATTAATAAACCCTAATTTGAAATGAGTTCTTTTTTTTCTTTTGTTTTTTGTAATTTTTCTTCTTCTTTCAATCATAATTAATAAACCCTAAAAGCTGGTAGAGTAGGCCGCCATCTGTCTTTGGCATCCACCGCCACAACCACAACCACATTCCAAATATATATAGCACTTGTTCCTAATCATCAACGCTGAATTTAGCATTTGTTCCTTTTTTTAATTACTCCCAACGTATACTTGGATTATTGCAAGGAAAAACAACTATACATTTGGTTATCTTATATTTTCTTTTTTAATCCATCCAGGGTCTGCTTTGTTGAAATTATTAAAATGGTTTTCAAGTTTAGTAACCAACTTTGAAAAAATGGTTTTCAAAGTTTGGTAAATGTTTCTTTAAAAATGGTTTTGCATTCTCACTAATCTGGTTATAGGGAAATTACTTGTACTTGGTTTATTTCCCAACAACTGGTAATCAGAGCTTTTGGGTTGTGAATTTTGTCAATTTTTTGCGAGGTTACTATTCGGGTTACTATTCACGTGAATATTGAATTTCGTGAATAGTGAAATTCGGTCGGCGATACGAGTTTGTCGACGGAGGTGTTCTAATACACGGCGGTTCGCAAAAATTGTCAGAAACGATCCAAACGAAGCCAGATTCGAGTGGGAGCGATGGCTGCAGACGAAGGGAAGGTGAAAATTGAAAAGTTCGATGGTGCGGACTTTGGATTTTGGAAGATGCAAATTTAAGATTTTCTATACCAGAAAAATCTATATCAACCCCTCTCAGGAAAACAACCAGAGGGCATGAAGAATGAAGACTGGGCTCTTCTCGACAGACAAGCCCTCGGAGTTATCCGACTGACGTTATCCCGCAATGTTGCTTTCAACATAGCAAAGGAAAAGACCACGGCGGGTCTTATGACGGCTCTCTCCAGTATGTATGAGAAGCCATCGGCCTCAAACAAAGTTCATTTGATGAGACGATTATTCAATTTGTGGATGACGGAAGGGGAATCGGTGGCACAACACCTAAATGAACTCAACACAATCACAACCCAGTTGAGTTCAATGGAAATTGAATTTGATGATGAAGTTCGAGCTTTAATTCTCTTATCATCTTTACCAGACAGTTGGAATGCTACTGTTACAGCAGTTAGCAGTTCGTCGGGAAACAGCAAATTAAAATTCGACGATGTTCGGGATCTGGTACTGAGCGAAGAAATTCGACGGAGAGAATCGGGTGAAGCATCAACCTCCTCAGCCTTGCACACGGAGTCCAGAGGGAGAACTTCAGAAAGAAATTCAAATCGTGGCATATCGAAATCCAGAAGGGAAAATCAAGAACAGGAAATAAAGATTTTACATGTTATAATTGCGGCAAGAAGGGCCACTTCAAAAGAGATTGCCGAGCACCGAAGAAAAATATCGGCGCACAGAAATCTGCCAACATGACGGAGGAGACAGGTGATGCCATGATTTTAAGCGTTAACAGTCCGATTGAATCATGGATTTTGGATTCAGGAGCATCTTTCCACTCCACGTCATGCCAAGAAATCATGGAGAACTATGTCAGTGGTGATTTTGGGAAGGTTCATCTTGCTGATGATGAAACCTTGAAGATCGTCGGAAAAGGAGACATCCGACTAAAGCTGCCAAACCAGACCACCTGGAAGCTGACAGGAGTGAGACATATTCCTGGTCTCAAAAGAAATTTGATTTCTGTAGGACAACTTGATGAAGAAGGATACATTACAACCTTTTCAGGTTGTGAATGGAAGATTACCAAAGGAGCACTCGTCATTGCTCGTGGTAAGAAGACTGGTACTCTCTATGTAACCTCAAATTTAGAGAATATCATTGCAGTAGCAGATGCTGATGGAAAATCAAACCTATGGCACCAAAGGCTTGGCCATATGAGCGAGAAAGGGATGAAGACACTTTTGTCAAAGGGGAAGCTGCCGGATCTAAAGAATGTAGATATCGGACTATGCAAGGATTGCATCTTTGGCAAACAAAAGAAAGTCAGCTTTGCAAAGATTGGTAAGACACCCAAGGCTGAAAAGTTAGAGTTAGTTCATACTGATGTATGGGGATCATCTCCAGTTCTATCTCTTGCTGGCTCATTATATTATGTCACATTCATCGATGATTCTATAAGGAAGGTGTGGGTTTATTTTCTGAAGAAAAAATCAGAAGTCTTTGATACCTTCAGAAAATGAAGGTCATGGTGGAAAATGAGAATGGTATGAAAGTCAAGCGGTTGAGGTTTGACAATGGAGGAGAGTACAGAAATAGGAGATTCAGAGATTTTTGCTCAAACAATGGGATCAAGATGGAGACAACAGTTCTCATGACACCGCAGCAGAATGGCGTAGCAGAGTGCATGAACAGAACTCTGAATGAACGTGCCAGAAGCATGAGGATACATGTCGGATTGCCCAAATTTCTATGGGCTGAAGCTATTAACACTGCAGCTTACCTGATCAACCGTGGGCCCTCAGTTCCTTTGGATGGTAGAATACTAGAGGAAGTTTGGAGCAAGAAAGAAATAAACCTTTCACACATAAGAGTGTTTGGTTGTATTTCTTATGTACACATAGACTCTGCTGAAAGAAGTAAACTTGATGCTAAGTCCAACAA